TGTAGTTATCTTAGGAAACAGCTATAAAAATTTTTGTTTTGTTCTAGGGCGCCCCCTGCTTACCTAGCGTCTTACTTCCAGTTTCCCCCAAGGCGTTGCTAACTCCAAATCTAAAATGTAACAAAAGAATCTGGAGAAATGTTATTGTTGTAAAAGTACATTTTGTCTTTAAAATTTGTGTGAAACATTTATTACCTAAGTAAAGTAGAAATGTCCAAAATCTATAGCCTGCTTAGTCACAGTAACAACGTATTTGCACTTTGTTACTAGAATTCGGATAGGCCTCAGAAAGTTCTAGATGAATATTTAATGAAGTAAAGAGACGATGATCATTAGACGTTTTGCAGGACAATGATCCAGCCAAATCTGGTTTGGGTTTCCTGCCTGGAACGTTCTTGAGTGGCCCATTCCATTTCTGGATTTAAAGCCCATTGAAAATCTATGGTGAGATGTGAAGAAAACCGTGGCAGTAGAGAAACCAAAGAATTTATGAATGTGAATATATAAATATATTCATTAATTTATTCTGAACATTGGTTATCTTTAATCAGTTTAGTAGTGTTTACTGGTTTGAGCCAGGAGAGGGCATCCTAAAAATAACACATAAGAGAAAGTGATTCCTTCAATGCATCAGTCAGTGCCCATCTCATGTGTAATGACACTTGAATAATAGTAGGCTTAATATGGAAAATGTTAGTTTAATGGCTGAGGTAAGCACAGTGTGGATTTACACTGCAGCTTGTTTTCTTATCAGCATTTCCTTCCGTTGCTGTAATTATATTCACATTTACATTGTGGTCAAACAGAGGGCTTTGGCCGCACAAAAGTATGCTCTTCCTCTGTAGCTCAACCCACAGCAGTTTCTGTTTCTCATGAAGCACGCACAAGTCTACAGGGAGAGACGTGATGATTTCATACTTTTTTGTAAAGATATGATTTCCTACATTCCTATATCAAAGTGTAACCACATCATTTAGAATGGTTTTGAACAACAGTATAAAATCTTAGATTTGAAAGCTTTGAATTCTTTCCTGTGTGAGCTGAAATGACAGAGAACATTAGTGGTGGGTTTTTGACATTCAGTGTGCAGTGGAGAGCTGTTCGGTCTCTGCTTAAAATGGTTGAGGCAGCATGTTTTCCCACCATTTGGCAGACAGTCTTAAGCATAAATTGCTTTCGCAGAAGTATTTTAAAATTATTTTACAATTTCAAATAACCACAGACAAGCAGATGCCGTCCCTTACTCTTTTATTTATAGTGAATGAAATATCAGCTTTATCTAGTGTCTGAAGTAAGACCAATCAATCTTTTTTGGCACAAGTAGACGAATGTATTTCAAGTTTGTTTCACTACTGCTTTTTTCACTTTCTGTGCCTGTGAACTTCTCTACCGTGGAGCTCTTAGATTGGTATTTGACATATTCCACTTTGACTTTAGGGGCCTCATTTATAAAATGTTGCGTATAAACCGTCCTAAATTTGTTCTAAGATCATTTCTCAAAAGTGCATCAGAGTGCACAAAAACACGTGCCTCTCTTCCAGATGATTGAAATGATCTTGAAATTGTGCACAGTTGACTGGTGTCAGATCTCCTGTAAAAAAAATGTCATTAAAAACAACAATATGGAATAAACTGTGTAGGCCTACAGAAAGCGAGTAAAGAACTCTCAACATTACTTAAAAAGGTCAGTTTAATCTCGCAAAAAATCCCGTTAATAAAAAAATCTGACTACACTGCACAATTAATCTCTTACACTGCATCTTTGTTGTTTATGATGAATCCGGTGCTTGCACGTATATACACCGCTTTTATTATTATTGCAGATTAGATGTTCAAATAGCT